TCGCGGGACTGCAGCCCTCCCCCGGCCGCTCGCCGCCCGTCCTCCCCGGACCGGGGCGAGCAAGTTGGAAGTTAAACTCCTCGGCCAGGCGATCCCGCATGGCGGGTCTGGAAGCCCCTGCCTTTTTGAGGTCACGTCACTCCCGCGACAGTAACTCGGCCATTTGTAGAGTTCGTTTGAGAGGTTAGACTAGTTAAATATTGTGGTTTAATTTCAGGCTTCTGCACCAGAAGTTTAGTAAAATAACTTTTAGTTCTCCCTTCCCCCACCCCTTTGGTGAAGATGAACTGAGGGCCCTGAGATAACCAGCACTTAATGGTCAGCAACGTGGAGGAGGAGAGCTGACAGAGCTACTCATCTACACATGAACGACGCCTAGGAAAATTGAGGATTGGGTGGTGGTGGTACACCAGGAGCCGATGTTTATTTTTTGGCGGTGCCTTGTAAATCTGAAATGTATTCATGTCGTTTTTTGAAAACTCCCAAGGGCTCATTATATGACTTTATCGTCTGTGTGTTTTTTTTTTAAGTACCTTTTAAAAATATTTTTATTTATCCAGAGGAAATTTTATATGAAATGGAAAATGGTTCTTTTTGGTTTTAATTAACTGGTGAGTACCCTGTAAAGCCTCCAGTCTAGGTTAAAAGTTTTAAGCTAGATAATCACTGTGAACTTAATAGTGCTGTTTGGAATTTTACCTTTTTCCTGGGTCTGTTGAAGGGAAATCTGTTGTTCATTTTACCGAACACCCTGAGTTTCAGGGATTATGTGAGCTGTGTGCACATAGAACTGATAAATGAGTACCACTGTTATTATGAGTATTTAGATGCTTAGCTTACATTTGTATAGACAGGAATGGATCCTGTTATAAGCCTTGTTACAAGATACTGTAGAGCATTGTAGCCAGTTTTTAGTTTTGAGCCTTTAATGGCGAATTTGACCTTTCACTTTTTCTTTTAGAAGTGACAGGTAAGACAGCTGTTATGAAAATTGGGAATAGGTTAACAAATGTAAAGAAAAGATTAATCTGGAAAGAAGTCCCAGAAAACTGTTTTAATGGAGTAGTTTAGACTAAATGTGAAGTTAACTGGGATTATGGCGTCTAAATGGTGCCCACTCTGATGAACGTAATTGATCACTTGGAGCTAATTTTAAAGATTTACAAGTTGTAAGGGACTATAGAGACCATCTTACCCCTTTACTTTCAATGGAGAATTTCTATTTCACATAAAGTTTTAAGTTAATCTTGGGGCCTGGGAACTGAACTTGTCCTTTATATTCCTGTATTGAAATATTGGCTGATTTCCATTTATTTCCACAATATGGATCCATAGAGTAGTTTGAATCCTTGGTTTTGGAATCAGACTGACCTTGGATTATAATGTTGACTTGACGTTTTCTAGATTTGTAATGCAAAACAGGCTATACTTTACCAGTCTGTAAATGGTCATGGTAGGATCTGCACCAGAGGGTTTTCTTGCACTTTAAATGGATTATGTTAAACAGTTAAACGGGGCTACCTCTCACACTTGGTATTCAGTAAATTTTAATCCTCTTATACTGTAGTAGTGTTTTGTTTTGTTTTGTTTCCTAATGGAGAATATATTTAGGCTGTTTAGATCTAGTATCTGGGGTTCATTTTGTGCTGTTCTGTGATTTCCTAAGGCCAGAAGGAGGGTGTTTACTGTAAATTTTGTGTTTTCATTAGGCAGATCATGGTTATCAAGCTTTTGCTTGCTCAGAAGTTACCAGTCTAGAATTGAATTTGGTCGCTTTGGATAGTGTAGTGAATCATTCTATCAACAAATTTCTGAATTCTTTTTTTGTGGGAAAATGCAAATAAGATTTAGTTTCTGTGACATGGAACACGTGAATTTTTTAAAAAGTCCTCAAAAGCATACTGTGTAAAAGCTTAAGTTCTTCAGCTTATGGTGTTTAGCCTTTATGAATATATGAATCTGTTTAGTGTCATTTGTAATGTTCTAGGAAGTGAAGGGCAAACTGAGATATTATAATAATTTGTGTCAATATACTGTTTTTCAGTAGACTTAGTATTTTGCTTTCTTTGACTTCTCAAATAGTATTTGGCAGTGGTAAGACTGTAGAACTGTTACTATTCATGGTGGAAAAAAGCAAGGCTTTTTTTTCCAGCTAAAAGGGGAGAACTAAGCCAGACATCGTCACGCACTTGTAATCCCAAGTGGGAGGCAGGAGATCACAAGTTCCAGCCCAGCCTGGGTAATATAGCAATTTAGGGAGAAGCTGTCTCAAAATTAAAAAAAAAAAAAAAATTTGGAAAAGTAGCTACTTTGAAGGCCCTAGCCTCAATCCCCAGTGACACCTCCCTATCCTGTCTATGAAAGAGAAAGAGAGCAATGAGAGCTAGGGATTATACTTGCCTGTCACCCTGGCTTTATTTTTTTATTTTTTAGCTATTTCACTATCCTGACGTCCTGCAGAGGCAGTGGAGGGACTGCTCACTTGGTGTGTATGACTGTACTCCTTTGCTGTTGCTGGAATGATGTGTAGGGTGTGACAATTGAAAGGCATTGAGTACCTACTGGAAGTAGGGACAACACATCTTTTACTCCATTTTTACTAGTCTTCCATCATTTCAAGAGAACAAGTTAAAAATACAGATTATTCAAAGAGCATGTAGACTTTGCTTTGAGGAACCCTCTGGCTGTTCAGTCGTCTCAAGCATTTGCTTTTATAACTATTAAAGAATTTCTTAGAGATGATAAAGAACTAAGCTAAAAACTGCCTGACTCATCCTGCTTGTTTGCCCAATGGATAGATTAAATCTGTCAGAGTATGTTTTCAAGCACTGGAAACAGCATTTCTGAAGAAAGCATCTATAGATTCTGCCAGAAAAAGGTATACATCAGGAATAGACAAACGTGTGTAAATATTAAGAAATCTGTCAGAGTATGTTTTCAAGCACTGGAAACAGCATTTCTGAAGAATAGCATCTATAGATTCTGCCAGAAAAAGGTATACATCAGGAATAGACAAACGTGTGTAAATATTATTTTTGGTACTAGGGATTGAACTCAGGACCATGCGTTTTATGTAAATATTTTGATGCTAAATTTATTGAGACATCATGAGATGTTTGGCCTCCACAATTACAAGTAGTGTTCAAAGTGGTGGCTGTGAGCTTCCAGGCGTTTATTAGTACAGTGAACTGCAAAAGTATGTGTACATTTTTTTGGTGAACGCTGTATTTTGGAGCAGTATGAAATTACAATTTTCAGATGACCGTTTTGCCAGAAAATTCACATCTGAAGTGTTGATGTGATTTTTTTCAACCAAATTTACAGAAATGTAGAGAATAGTTTAATAAGCTTATGGCCATATTTTCTCTATAATCTCTTTTTACTCCCTCCTAACCAGATTATTATTATTTATTTATTTATTTATTTATTTTTGGTACCAGGGATTGAACTCAGGACATTGTGCTTGTGAGGCAGGCAGCAGAACCACTGTGCTAAATCCTAGCCCTATTTTGTTTGTTTGTTTGTCTTGGTACCAGGGATCGAACTCAGGTCCTTGTGCTTGCAAGGCAGGCGGTGGAACCACTGAGCTACATTCCCGGCCCATAGCCCTATTTAAAAAAAAAAATCTCAATCATATAATTTTAGTAGCCTAACAATTTTTATAAACTAGCAAGTTTTGAAATGGGAAGCATTTAACAATTATTTATTTTTAGTTTTGCTTTTGAAACAAACTCCTGTTCAGGCTGCCCTTGAACTCAGTATATAGCCTAAGCTGGTCTGAAACTCACCATGATCCTCCTGACTCAGCTTCCTGAGTGTTGAGATTACACATGTGCGCCAGCATGCCCAGCTGAAGCTACTTTTGCTTAAACTGGAAAGAATTTTAAGCCATAAGTGTGTTCTGGGGCAGGGGATTTAGCTCAGTGGTTCTGCTGTCTGCCTTTAAAGTGCAAGGTCCTGAGTTCACTCCTCGGTTCCAAGAAAAACAAAACAAAATAGAAAAAAACTCAAAAAAATGTGTTCTCACATATGTGGTATTCTGTAGTTGCATATTATAGAAGCACACAACCAACCTGCTGCTGGCTGCATTATTAGAAATAAAAAGAAAGCATTTAAGATTTTTTTTTAATAGCATGCACATAGGAAATAAGTTTCAATTTGAAAAGCAGCCATTTTAGAGAAATGGTTTGAATGATGTTTAGTGTATATTTGCAAGGCAAAGATATGGATCAGCTAGTAATTATAAATAGCTTGGGTGTTTTGGCGGGGGAACTGGGAATCGAACTATGGACCTTGCGCTTGGTAGGCAGGCAGCACCACTGAGCCAAATCCCTGGCTCTAGTCTAGATTTTTTGTTGTTGGTTTTCTGCTACTGGGAATCAAACCCAGATCCTTCACAAAGAGTTCTATCCCCAACCCTTTTTAAATTTTATTTTTTAGGTACCAGGGATTGAGCTCAGGACCTTGACTCTACCACGCAAATGCTTTGCTGCTGAGCTATATATCCTGGCCCGCCAGCCCTTTTTATAAAAATTTTGAGACAGGTTGCCAAGTTGCCCAGACTTAGACTTGACTTAGTTAGACAAGACTCAAACCTAGAATCCTCTTTCCTTAGCTTCAGATAGGGTAGAGAGCCTCTATTCTCAAGAAGCTATTTTATTAAAAAAATTTTTTTGTTTGTTTTTGGTACCAGGAATTGAACTCAAGACCTTGGCATTTGTGAGGCAGGTTCAGTACCACTGAGCTAAGTCCCTGGTCCCTGTTTTGTTTTGCTTTTTGAGACAGGGTCTCACTGTGTAGTTCAGGCTGGCCTTGGGCTCACTGTGTAGCCTAGGCTGGCCTCAAACTCACTGCAGTCTTCCTGCCTCAGATGCCCAGATGCTAGATTACAGGCGTGCATCACTATTTTAGGAAAGCAGTCTAGAAGATTCTCTTGGAGATGAATTGGATATCATAGTCAAGATTTATAGGCTACTGAAAATAATTCTGAAAGGGGCTTTTAACTGATTATGGACAAGTAGTTTGTTGAGCCAGATAATCATTTAGGGTAGTTTTGAAGTGGGTTATAGACCGACTACCTATTTTGTGTTAATTTTAGTTATTTTTCTAGGAACTCTTTTTGTATTTATCTAATTTTTTTTTTTTTTTTTTTTTTTGCCAGCAATTTACAAAATGCTAGTGTTTATAGAAAATCAGGCAGATTTTCCTGAAGCATTATGGCAGGTGTTCATGCTTACATCTATTTTTAGGCACCTGCTAGTTTCATAACTGAGGAAATAGGGACAACTACCTAGCTGCCTTCTATGATTACAATTGTAGTTGTAGGTGCGACTGTCATTTTTGCTGACATCATTGTGCTGAATTTAAGGACTCAGTGCTCATTTGGTAGTCACTTCAGGGCAGGCTTGTTGCGGGCACTTTGGGGTGAGAGTGACAGGCAAGGCGTGCCTTTTGTAGTCTTTTTATGGAATGAGGTCCAGATCATGACTCTTGCTAGGAACTACTGCTTTTGCTATTAAAAACCATTCTGTAATGGAGAATTTCTAGTTGTGTCTGTATTAATGGGAATCTGGATAAGGTTTATGTTTCTTTGTTTTGTTTATTGAGACAGGATCTTGCTATGTAGTTCAGGCTGGCCTTGAATTCACTACATAGCCCAGGCTGGCCTTGAACTTATGGCAGTCCTGCTGCTGCAGCCTTCTGAGTGCTGGAAGTATAAGCATGGCCCACCATGCCTGGCTAGGTTTACTTTTTTTTTTTTTTGAGACAGGGTCTCACTATGTAGTTGAGACTGACCTGGAACTCACTGTGTAGCCCAGGCTGGTCTTGAACTCACAGTGATCCTCCTGCCTCTGCTTCCTGAGTGCTGGGATTACAGGCGTGCGCCACCATGCCCAGCTAGGTTTACATTTTGATGGGGGAAACCAAGGGCAATGATAAGAGATTGGACATAGAATTGGTGAGAAGGCTGTACTGTGAGAGAGCAGTGATGTGAGTGGGGCACATCAACATTGAACAGAAATGTTCCTCTGTTGGTGTCTCTGTGTTGAAGGTATTACAGTGGAGATGCTTATGATTTTCAGCCATATTTTTCCCCCTTTGGCCTTGGGTTTCTTAAAATCTGTAGAAAACCATTTGAGGCAGTTTGATATTGTGAAGGTGGGTAACTGATACAGCTGAATCTGGATGTGTCTTTTTAGCATGTACTATAACTTGTTTTTTTTTTAGATTCCCTGTGATTCTAGGAGCGTTTACTCTAGAACTAATTAGTGAAGAGTCAGCTCTCAGATATTTTATATTTCAGGACTTAGAGAAGAAATTATACTCCTATAACGTAAAGAAACTTTAGGCCATTCTGAACAGGTCCTTTCATTGTATTTTACTGAGATTATTGATGGCTTTTTCTAGGCTTAGTTTCCTTATCTGTAAAATGTGAATAATGCTACCATACTTTTAGAACTATTGTGAGGATTAATCATGTACTACATATAAAAAGCTCTTTGCATAGTACCTGGTACACAGTGACCACACAGTAAGCGCTGCCTATTACTGCTGCTCTCCCTATTATTAGGGGGTTGTGAATAGATGTTCCCTGGAGGTAGGCCCATGCTCCTCCTGTCCAAAGCACTGCCTAAATAGTATATCATAGATCTAGTCTTCCTCTTCTTTTTGTTGAGTCCTTGTGATTCTAGGGGAGATTAAACCAACAACAAAAATCTCTCGTGTTAGCTTTAATTTTAGCTGGTCAGTCCCCTTGTAGTACAATGTTTTTGATAAAGCACTTAACAAACCAATGACATGATACAAACATTAGATCTTTTTTTTTTTTTTTTTTTTGAGACAGTCTCCCTATGTAGTTCAGGCTGATTTTGAACTATGTCGCCCAGGTTGGCCTCAAAACTCACAGCAGTCCTCCTGCCTCAGCCTCCTGAGACTACAGGCATCCACCACCACACCTGGTCTGATCTCTAATTTCTAATGCAAGTAGTTTTTATAATCCAAATAATGACTGATTGGTTTGTTTGTAAGTTAAAACTGAACCATGAGTTAAATTGTCAGATAAGATGATAAAAAATGTAATTTTGTATAAAATTCTTCCCCCTCTGTTTGCAGACCTTATGGCAGCCTTTATCAGGATACAGTGTTGGGTATTTAATTTTTTTGATGGATTTATGAAGCTTTGAGAATGCAAGGCTTAGTTTACCTAGATTAATTTAGGTTTATGATCTCTTGCTATAAAGCCATAAGCTTGGTGTCATAGTTATGGTACATTAGTCACTTTTTGCTTCTTCTAGTAGTGTCAGGGCCTCTTGGCTTGGCATCTGTCATGCTGTGGCTCAGCTTCAAATGTCACGTCATAGTGTGCCTGATGCTTGGTGAGATGATGTCCATGTTACTATAGATTAAAGCCCTATTTAAATACAGGGCTGTGTCCTTATTAAAATTGAATTTTCTGAATTATAGGGAGCCAGCAGTTGATTTAGGTATAGAGACCTACCTCAAGGAGTCCTGTCTAGCTTAGGGAGTGGATCCATAAAGGTTTAATCAGCTCTCTTGACTCTTCTTTGATACTGGACTTAAGTACATATTTATTTGATTAACCAGTGTTCTATCGTATGGAATATTGCTTGAAATAACCCCACTGGCAAGACAAAGGATGGGATTTTTTTTTTTAGTAAAGAAAGAAGTATAATATTCTTTCAAACTTTTATTTCAAACAACTCTGAATCACTTTTTTTTGGTACCGGATATCAGACTTGGGACCTTGTGCTTGTGAGGCAGGTGGCAGAACCACTGAGCTAAATCCCCGGCCTGCCTTCTGAATCACTTTTTAAGGCTGATTGTTTTGACTTTGTTGTCTTTTTTTTTGTTGTTGTTGTTGTTATCATATTTTAACTGCTAATGAAGCTTTTTTATAGAATTAGATAAGTTGATATAAAGGTTCATATAAAAAACAAACATGCAGGAATGGTCAGGAAATCATTAAGAAATCTAAAAACCTACAAGCATAGTTTTACATGATGACATGTATCTGTAATTGCAGCTATTCAAGAGGCTGAGGCAGGAAGATTACAAATTTGAGGGCAGTCTAGGCACTTCATAAGACTCTTTCTCAAGATGAAAAAGGCTGGAATGTACCTTTGGTAAAGCATCCCTGGGCTCTATCCCCAGGCGTGAGGGAATGGAGGGGAAGCCTATCATCAGAACAGAGTGACACTCATACCTGAAGAGACATGGGATGGTGGGATGGGATAGAGAGCCTGGAAATAGACCAAGTACTCAGGAAAATTTAGTGCGTGGTAAATCAGGAGGCAAATAGGAATTTTTTTCTTTTTTTGTTCTTTAAAAAAATGTAATACAAGTAGATATTAATAAGGAAGATATGAAATATACTTCTGTGAACAAAAAACAATTTCATAACAAAATAGAGAATAACAATAGTATGCCATGTATCATGATCTAGAAAGAATGGCCAAAATGTTACTCAAAGTACACATCATAGGCAAAAAAAGAGTCTTATACAAAACAAAGGGCAAAGCTTTCACAAAGAGGCATTTTTAAAAATGAATTATACCAGGGCTGGGGATTGAGCTCAGTGGCTCCACCACTTGCCTCACAAGTACAAGGATCCAAGTTGGATCCCTGGGACCAAAATAAAAGAAAGAATTATACAGAGCCACTGACTGACTAACCATTTGGAATGTATAAGATTAGCTGTGTGTGGTGACATAGGCCTGTAACCCTAAATCCTCACGCTCTTAATGTGACACACACCGGCAGCTGCTCAAGGCTGAGGTAGAAGGATCGTAAATTCAAGTCCAGCCTGGGCAGTTTAGCCACTCACCGGGACCATTGCAAAACTTAAAAGAAAGAAAAAAATGTTGTAGCTGAGTGCAAAGACCCTAGATTCAGACCCTAGTTATTGTAAACAAGACAGAACACCAAAGAGATAGCAGTGCTTTACATCATAACTATGGGCAAAACTCCACTTTTTTTTTTTCACATTTTAGATTAGGGCTCTAAATTGAAAAAACGAAGTATATTCTAGAAGAACATGTGGGTGAGTACTAGAGGAAATGATTGATAAATTGGTACAGTGTGTAGCATAGGACTTTGGGTAATGTGGGGGATTTCATTAACAGAGGGATAAGGCAAGTATGCTTCTTATATCTGCTTGCTATTCAGCATTGCACTTAGGGGTTTAGAAAGTGCCATTAGATAAGAGAAAGTTGTGGAAGCAGAACTGGTGAAGAGTCAGCAGCTGTCTTTTGTTTGTAGCTAACTGTGGTGCAGACTAAGTGTCCCTGTCTGACATGCTGGGTGTCAGAAGTGTTTGATTTCTGGATTTTTTTTTTTCAGATTTTGGAATATCTGCATGTACATAATGAGATGTCTTAGGGATGGGACCCAGATTAAACATGAAGTTCTTTTATATGTTATATATAATTTATACACATCGAAGGTAATTGTTTTGACTGTAGTCTGTCAGTGAGGCCAGCATAAAATTATTACTTTTGGCTTCATGTGGCCCTCAAAAGCTTTCAGATTTAGGAATGTTTGACCTGTGTGTTTTAGAAACGTTCTGAAGAATAACTAATAGATTTAACTGAAGTGATGAATTCAGTAAGGTAACAAGATACAAAATTAACATACGAAAACCAGTAGCTCTTCTATCACATATTTAAAGGATGTTTTATTTGTTTTTGCTTTGCAGTGCAAGCTGGCCTTGAAATTGAGGCTATCCTCCTGTTTTAACCTTCCGAGTTAAAAGTGTGTGCGCCCCCACACCTGACTCAATTAGAGGGCTTGTTAGGGGAAAACCTCCCCCAAAAGCCCTATTTATAAAAACAATTTAGGAAGTTATCAAATATTTAAATTAAAAATGTAAATAGAAATGTTTAAAGTCACTTAAAAACTTAATTTACAATACTCCTGAAGGGTATAAAAGTAGATGCAAACAAATGGAAAGATAGCTCTTAATCAGGGGGCTTAATAGTATTGAAATGTTAGTTCCATTAATTTATTAATTAGTGCAGTGCTGAAATATAAAAATATTAACAGGCTTGTTTGTAGGGAGACAAGTTGACAATATCACATGGAAAATTTACAAACTTGCAAGAATTTTTAACAAAGGTCCTTTTCTCTAGGATAACTGGGATGATGATGAAGAGGACAAAAAAGAGGAAGCGGAAGTAAAACCAGGTGAGCTACTGGTGCTCCTCTGTTCTTGGTTTATATATTGGTTGGCATTTGGTGCTTAGGTTAAATTACAAAATGCTCACAAAATTGAAAATGTTGCTGTCTTTGAAACCAATCATCTTTCCAATCCCCTTTTCTTCTCTTTTGATACCTGTGGTATTTCTTTTTATGTGCTGGGTATTGATTGCTGGTAGGAGAGAGTAGAGAATGTGATATTACAATTGAGTGATCTCAGTCTTGTTTACAAGATGGTATGGTGGGGTTTATGGCAATGTTTAGATCCTACGGCTCATATTAGAGAGAAAAAGGAAGAACCCTAGTTCTTTCCCACTCTTACTTTCCAGGACATCACTGCATGAATGTGAAAGTTGGGAAAAGTGTGGTCTCTTCAAATATTCAGTTAATGACTGTCTCACCCGTAAACTGACATGTGTTCAGTATAATTGGAGAGTAGTCAATAATTGTGAAATATTTCTTTACTTTTCAGAAATAAAAATTTCAGAAAAGAAAAAAATAGCAGAGAAGATAAAAGAGAAAGAACGGCAACAGAAGAAAAGGCAGGAAGAAATTAAAAAGAGGGTATGTACTGTTCATTTTTTAAGGTATGAGTACATACAGAATTCTTATTTTTTTGGGTACTGGGGATCAAACTCAGGACTTGTGCTTGCCAGGCAGGCACGGTGCCATTGAGCTACATCCCTGGCCAATGTACAGAATTCTTATATCAGTAGTGCTGTAGTGTCTATTAGGCTGCATATATTACGTTACAATTTGAAGGTTTCGGTAAAGACTATGAGTGGCTTCCATAAGATAGAGCAATCCCCAAAGAGATTGATTATGGTTTTTTCAGAAACAGAACATATAAGCTTTATTATTAGAATGCATTTTAAGTTTTCACAGACATTCAGGAATAGTCATGATTGCTCGGTGAATACAGTCAACGATTTTCTAGTCATGATTATCTTGATTATCTGTAGGGTACATGTGAAGTGAAATAAAAGTATTCATTTCTAGTCTATCTACTGTATAAATGTTTTTGTTTTTGATTATTTTGGAGCAGGCATCTGAAATCTTTTTTTTAAAAGTATTTAAGAAATTAACAGATTTTTGTAAATTCATTGTGTTGTACCCAGATAAAATGACTATTTGTTTGATGCTTAAATTATTTCAACATTGGCCAGTAGGAATTCCGTTAAACTGGTTCCCTTGTTCATCTTTTTTTTTTTTTTTTTTTTTTTTTTTTTTTTTTTTTTGTGGTAATGAGGATTGAATCCAGGGCCTTCACCCTGAACTACATCCCTACCTCTAAAATTTTTTATTAGAGAGCAGTTTGCTAATGGCTAAGTTGGTCAGGCCAGCATCAGACTCATGTTCCTTTTGCCTCAGCCTCTCAGAGTGCTGGGCTTATAGGCATGTGCCACTGTAGTTGACTCCTGTATTCACTTTTTTGACAGAACCCCATTAGTCTTTGAAAGCTTCCTTGTTTCTGGTATATACAGTGAGTATCAGGCTTACCTGATAAACTCTTCTTCAGTCTTGAAGTCAGCCACTTCACTAATGTTATTTTGAGATGAAAATGGTATTTAGAAACTATGAGTACTGCTATTGGGGTAACCTTACCTTTGAAAGCCCCTTTCATGAACTGAAGATTGTGTGTGTGTGTGTGTGTGTGTGTGTGTGTGTGTGTTCACTAGTCCATATCAGTACTTTCTCTAACCCCTTTCATGAACTGAAGATTGTGTGTGTGTGTGTGTGTGTGTGTGTGTGTGTGTGTGTGTGTGTGTTCACTAGTCCATATCAGTACTTTCTCTTATATTGAAAATTCTGGTTTCTAATAAATTAGTAATTGTTTGCTTTTTTCAACAATAGTAATGTTATTATATAATGCTACTGAATGAAGTTTAGGATTCCTTTGCAGTTCTTTTGTATGTAGGATATCTTACTTAGGATACATCCTAAAATCATTTGAATATTTTCTCTGTGTTATTTGGTATCTATTTTAGAGAGATTTGTTTTCAATTTGTTTCCTTTTGCATTTACTTTTGAACATAAATGTTTAGAAATCAAAACTATACAAACATGCAATATTCGGAAAAGTCTCATATGAGAACAGGTCTTTTGGTGATTGAACTTGGGACCTTGCACTTGGGAGTCAGGCGGTGGCACCACTGAGCTAAATCCTCAGCCTGAAAAGGTCTTAAATATACTCATCATACAAAATATATGAGGTGATGAATATACTGATTAGCTTGATTTAATTATTTCACAGTGTGTGTACATACATATATATATATAAAATATGTTGTATACTGTAGCCATATACAGTTTGTCAGTTATACCTTAAAACTGACAAGGGATGTTTTAGGCATCCATCCAATCTTCTACCTACTCCTTGTAGCCTCCTGTAAATGGTTTTCTTTAGTTTCTGGTTGATTCTCCTTTTGATAGCTATATCTATTTCCTAGACTTATTCCTATTCCTATAACTTATTTTACTAGTTCCCTATTGATGGATAGTTCAATTTTTGATCAGTTATTTCTTTGGTAAATACTTCAGTAAATAAATATGTATGTATTATCATTTGGTGGGTGGAAGGTATGTAGGTATACAGGGGAAGAATCTAAGATCTTCACACTGAGTTACATCCTTAGTCCTTTTTTATTATTTAGAGATAAGGTCTTACTGAGTTGTCCAGACTGGGATGGAGCTTGCAGTCCTTCTGCCTCTGCTTCCCAGAGTACTGCAATTATAGATATATGCTGCCACACCCAGTACATACTGCCAGTGGTTCAGGCCTGTGGGAAGGCATTAATGTCTACATGGTACTGTTGGATGGATGTGCCAGACTTTATTGGACCATTCTTTTTGGACATTTAGGTTATCTATAAATTTTTCTGAAATTATACTTCCTTGACCTTAAGTATTTGTGTGCATCTTAGATGTCCCTAAGATAAATACCTAGAAATCGAATTACTTGATTAAAGCATATAATTTTTTTTTATCCCCCCCATGCTGAGGTTTAAACTCAGTATTTCACTCATGCTAGGCAAGTGATCTAGTACTGAGCTGAATTTACAGCTCCCATATTACATTACCCTAGAAAATTTTTCCAGGATAGTCTTTGTAGTAGCAGTATGTGAGATTGTCTTTTTCCCTTGTCCATAAGCTTAGTTCCTTATTTCTAAAAAGAAAGTGTATAGAGCCAAGTGTGGTAGCACATGCCTTTAATCCCAGCACTTGGAAGCCTGAGGCAGGAGAATTGTAAGTTCAAGCCCAGCCTGGGTAATTTGGCGAAACCCTTTCTCAAAATACAAAAAGAAAAAGAGAAGTATACTTTAGCACTTCCTGGGTTCAATACCTGTTAGTTAAAAACCTGGTCTTGGGTTCACATTTCACTTTTGTTACATTATTAGGTTCTGTTATTGTGGGCTGATTGTTCAATGCCTCTGGCTCTGGTTTTTTATCTGTACAGTTGGATTAAGAATATCTAAAGTGTAAGCCAAGCCCTGTGACACATTCCTGTAAACCCAATGCTTGGTAGCCTGAGGAAGGAGGATCATAGTTCTAGTTTCACTTGGGCAATTCATAGACTGTCTGAAAATAAAGTGACGGGGTGGTGGGGGAACACCTCAGGATGTACCGGGTTCAATCCCCAGGACCAGAAATGTATTGAGTCCATCATAATTCCAGTCCTCTAATGCTTCTATTCCATTTCATTTTAGTTAGAGGAACCTGAAGAACCTAAAGTGCTGACACTGGAAGAACAATTAGCAGATAAACTTCGGCTAAAGAAATTACAGGAAGAGTCAGACCTTGAATTAGCAAAAGAAACTTTTGGTAAGGGGGTGTGTAATTACATTGTACCAAATGAAAGCTCCGTTAAGTCTTACTAGTTGTGAAATTCAGAAGACATTGTCTTTAAAGGAAACAAGATAGTGTGTCTAATTTAGATATCAGAAAGCAGTTTTAGTTTCTGTGTACTTTCTTGAGAAGGTAGAATGGAGGCACATGATTTTGAATAATTGTTTGGAGTATCAAAAGATTTTTAAAAGAAGTAATTGTGGCAGCACCACTGAGCTAAATTCTTGGCCCTGTAATTAAATTTGAATACTGAGGTTTTAGTTTAGAAAAAACAGCTCATACAGTTGGCTGGCATGCCAGCAGAGAAGGTTCTGTGTGCCTGCTGCATCGCCCATGCCATAAGTTCACCACCTTGGGGGTAGCTGCTCTGACCTCACTCAGCCCCCATTCGCTACCATGCAGTAAGAGGCTGGCTTAGTAGTCATTCCCCCTCCTTGGGGAAGTGGGGCCTCATCTTGCCACAGCAGCGGGTGCCCTGTTGTTTGGCAGGTCCTAAAATACTCTTCTCATTGGAGGGTACTTGGCCATTGTTCTGTGTCTTCACTGGATGGTAAAAGCTGCCCGTGTACCTATTAAGAAGGTGAATTTATGTGATGTACATAAAGCCTAGCATGGAACACCAGTTAACAGATTAAAAAGTAAAATTAGGGCACTTGCAGGTACTGCCTCACAAGTGCAAGGTCCTGAGTTTGATCCCTGGTATGGGGGTAGAGAAAAGTAAAAGCAGTATATATTCATATAGTCATTGGTTATAGGATTTTACCATTGTTTCTCAGACTAAAATGCTGAATCTAATATTAACTAATTTACTTGACATAGGGAAGCCTATAGAAACATACTTGTGTTTTTCTTTTTTTTTGTGGGGGTGCGGTACTGGGTATCCAACTTGGGACCTTGTGCTTTCAAGGCAGGTGGCAGAACCATTGAGCTAAATCCCCGGCCCCCTAATAAATATTTTGAATATAGTGATTACTGAAAAATATCAGAGGAAGGAGTATCTGCAGCAACTGTAGTGTGGTATGAAAGTATCTGTGGTCTCTGCTAGTAAAGTCATTTTGCTGCTGCCACTGTAATTTTTTACCTGTTGTTACCTGCTACCTGTATTAAAAAGCAAAGGAAATGCTAAATTTTAGAGTATAAAAAAAATCAAGATATAAGTGTTTTCTCAAGTTCACAGATTACCTAAATTCTGTTCAAGGAATCCAGTAGCCCAAGTTAAGTACCCTTGTTTTGGAATGAAGTAATAGGGTTATTTATATAGCTATTTGGTTTATAAACATCTAAACAACCCTTTTAACTTTCTAATATTTTCAGTGCTTCTTTTTTGCAGGTGTTAATAATACAGTTTATGGAATAGATGCTATGAATCCATCTTCAAGAGATGATTTCATGGAGTTTGGAAAGTTACTAAAAGATAAAATTACTCAATATGAAAAGTCACTGTATTATGCCAGTTTTTTGGAAGCCTTAGTTCGAGATGTGTGTATTTCATGTAAGTAATTTTAATCTCTGGCCCCTGTGGCTAATTAGTTTTGTTTTGGTTTTTTTTTTTTTTTGAGACAGGGTCTCACTGTGTAGTTGAGACTGACCTGGAACTCATTATGGAGCCCAGGGTGGTCTCGAACTCATAGCGATCCTTCTGCCTCAGCCTCCCAAGTGCTGGAACTACAGGGGTGCACCACCATGCCCGTCCCCTGTGGCTAATTTAGTAAGGACATCCACAGGAGTGTTGGGATTTGTTTTTGCCTTTTGATGGATTAGTACAGACTCAGGACTTTTTTTGTGGGAGGAGACGGTCTCGCTATGCAGTTCAGGTTGTCTAAGTTTTCCAAGTGCTGGGATTACAGGCATGTGCCACGATGCCTTGGCAGGAGTTGCTCTTTAGTAATTAATTAGCATGTGCAGTTAGTGTGAGTGTTGGGTTTTTTGAGGACAGTAGGGCAGGCTACCTTGTTTTATTGTTTTTGTTTTGTTTTGTTTCAGTAGATGGTGGGGGATTGAACTCAGGACCTTCTGCTTCCCAGGCTACATCCCCAGCCCACTTTTTTTTTTTTTTTTTAATAATTTTTACTCCCTTACCCCACCTCCATGTACAGAAGCTTTGTTTCCATTTTTTCCTTCTAGCTTCACTTTTTTCTTATCCCTTCCTTTCTCCCTTCATTTCCCTTCCTGTTTGAACATTTTCTTCCCATTCCCAACATCCATTATACATTTCAGTCCTTATTTCCACTTTTGGTTTCTCATGCCAGAGAAACAATTTGGTATTTAAACTTGAATGTCCGATTTATTTCACTTAAGAGTATGGTCTCAAAGCTTTCCAGACAGACAGACATCTGGGCTTGTAGCCAACATAGCTGATGAAACACCAGTTTATTCTTTTTTTCTAATCTCCAGAAAGTGATTACGAAATATCTTGGGGGAAGTGGTCTCTGGACTTGTAGGATTGTAGAGATGGCTGAGACTTCACATATTTTATGATGAGAAAGCCTAAGATAAGGTACAGGTTGCCCGACAGCTGTGACATTCTCTGGGGCTAGGTGGCTATGGTGTCACACCCTGCAGTCACACACTTAAGGGTTGCATATATGGGTATGATAGTCTTGGGTGGTATAGTATTAATGTGGAAAGGAGTGGTTTTGCCAGTATATGCTGTTTGTACGATTGAGAAAAAAAGAATCTTATATAATTGGTTAAAATTAGGTTTTTCTAGTCAGCACTCAGGAGGCTGAGGCAGGCAAACTTGCCACAAGTTTGAAGTCAGCCTGTGCTATGAAATGAGTTCAAGTCTAGTCTGGACCACATAGCAAGACCCTTAAAAAAGTGGGAGGGCTGTTCGTTTGTTTTTTTAAACAGGTCTGTCATTGGAGTACACTGAGATAATAACTTTTTATTCTAGCTCCTGTGCTAGAAAATGGTGACTCCTGAAAATAGGGGTTGTCACCTGCAGGTTTAAGAATTAAGAGATGGAATTGGTCACACAGGGCCTGTAATTCCAGCACTGAAGGAGGCTGAGACAGAAGGATGGCAAATTCAAGTGCCACCAGGGCAATTTAGCAAGACTCTGTCTCAAAATAAAGAGTTAAAGAAAGGGCTGGGGGTGTAGCACAGTATATGTAGTAGAGTGCCCCCCGCTTTGATCCTTACTACTGGGGAAAAAAAATTGTCACTGAGAATGGCAGTGAACACCTGTATCTCCAGCAATGGGGAGTTTTGAGGACATTCTGGATTGCGACACTGTCTCCCCCACCCCCCAAAAAAATCATTCCACATTCACTTAGCTGCTCTCCTCACTGAGCATTCAGGGTATGTATGGGCATGGTAAGGAAGGAAGCATTGTGAGCTATAAACAAGTTTCTCTGTGGTTAAGCTATGGCGTGCTGGTAATTACAGGTCATTATACATGACGTGATACAAAAAAGAAAATAAATGTTCAAATTAAAAAATTTTTATTATAGTGAGCTGGGCTTGGTGATGCATGTCTGTAATCCCAGCATTTGGGAGGCTGGGGCAGGAGGATCACCACGAGTTTGAGGCTAGTCTGAGCTATATGATTTTCTTTTTTGGTACCAGGGATCAAACTCAGGTCTTTGTGCTTGCAAGGCAGGCAGTGGCACCACTGAGCTCAAACCCCCGGGCCCTGCCTGGGCTACGTGATGAGTTCAGGGCCAGCTTGATTACACAGTGGTAAGACCCTATCTCAGAAAACAAAAACAAAGCACACAAAAAAAAACCCAAAAAATTAGTATAGTGAAAGACACATTGCTATTAATTCCCTTTAGAATAGTCATCTTCACTTCAAACACACTTACCCATCATTCTTTTATGGTTATTTTGACTTTGGAGAAGAGACAGAAGTAATACTGCTAGATCTGGTGAATTAAGGACACAGTAATATTTCTGCAAGCCAGCCTTTCCATTGAATGGTACTTGGGAGCAGCATTCACTGTATTTTTTGATCACACCTTGTGAAAACAAGAGTCTTCTAGAACTGCTTGCAAAAGTGGCAAGAAAATAGAGGTGTCTTTTACTATAACTTTTTTTAAATTTTAATAACTTTTAGCGGGGAGTTGAGATGGTCTTACCATGTTTCACTATAATAATTTTTTAAATTTAATTGTTTTTTGAGATTTGGTCTTGCCTTGCAGTTCTGGCTGTTGTTGAATTCACTGTGTAATCCAGGCTGGCTCTGAACTCATGGCGATCCTCTTGCCTCAGCCTCCCAAGTGCTAGGACTTCAGGTGTGTACCACCATGCCTGGCTATAACACTGTAATTTTTGATTAGTTTGTGTAAAGTTAAATTTTTGTTACTGAGTTTACCATTTAAATTTAAATAGTTTTGATCTGTGATCCAGGCCATAGAAAGAATTCCTTATCACCTTAATATTTAAAAAGAAAAGTTTAGTCATTTCAAAATAAAGATTTTTTTTGTTGGTTTGAGACAGGGTCTCACTGTGTAGTTAGTTTGACCTTGAACTCAGGCTGGCCTCAAACGTGGCAATCCACCTGCCTCATCCTCTCCAGTGTGGGATTACTGGTGCCATCACACCAGCTTCAGAATTACAGTTTAATGATGGATAAGTTAGGAATCTCAAAGCACTTGAAAGGATACCTATTTTGTTTTAATGTCGCAAAATGCTTAAAACTTCAGATGTTGTGGATGTTTTTTTTTTTTTTTTTTTTTTTTTTTTGATGGAAATTGATGACTTGAAAAAGATTACGAATTCATTGACTGTGCTTTGCAGTGAAAAACAGAAGCAAGAGAAGGTAAGAGGAAACTGTAGGGAAGTGCTTATTCCATTAGGGTTAGTTCTGGGTGGAATATTCTCAGTAGATGTAGAGACTGGGTCATATTTAAGAGTCAAGCAGTTCTCCCAGTGTGGTGGTGCATATCTGTAATCCTAGTACTCTGGGATGCTGAGCCTGGAGGATCAAAGACTGAGCCACCTTAATGGTGTAGTAGCCATGCCCTGTGTCACAATAGAACAACACAGAAAGGGCCAAGTGCTGCAGAGAAACACAAAACCCAGCAGTGCACCAGTGTCATCAGAGCTGGGATAGGAGCGCAGGTGCCATCACTCCTTTTTGTTTAGGGACATCTCGGCAATGCTTCTTGCTGAGTTAACAGAAATCACTGTAGTTTAGGCTTGAGATGTCCCTTAAAGAACAGCTTTTCTGGGACCAGAGGCTCTGGCATCTGTAGAAGTGTTGCTATACCAGATGAAATGACAGTAGCAGATAAGTCTCATGAGTCAACTCTCTCTCTTATCCTTAGCAAAGCAAAGCAAAAAAGAAGAAGAAAGGTGTGGTTCCTGGAGGGGGATTAAAGGCCACCATGAAAGACGATCTGGCAGATTATGGTGGTTATGATGGAGGATATGTACAAGACTATGAAGACTTCATGTGACATTTTATCTTCTCCTGGTGTCTTCTTTCTGTTGCCCACAATCCCTTCAACATGTAGCACAACTTCCTTTCCTTTCAGTTCTGCCAAATGCTACAATCAGAAGTGCAGTATCTTTTGTGCTGGTTACTCAACCCCTTGACACTTAGGTGCTAATGTGCAAATGAGGGAACTTGGATCTTGCTGCCAAGGGGTTAAAATCGGGAACCTCAGTTGCTACTAAATCATAGTTTAAAAATGATCTAATAATGTTGTTACTGTTGCTATCTTATTCCATAGCAGCATTCACTAAATTGGAAACAAAGGTTGCAACATGACAAAAAAATCGCATAGTATTTACCAGCACCATTCAGTAATACAGCCTTAACCATACCTCCTTGAACTACTTCATAACTTGTCAAGAAAAGCAGTTTGCAGCAAGGGCATGTGGTGTGCACCTAGTATTAAAATTGCTTTGTCTTAAAATTGAGCGTGAGGATATTAAAATCCATTGTGAAGAAGACTGCTTATCTCAGAGTGAAGATACTTAAAAATTAAATGACCAAAACCCTCCAACTTTGAAGCTGAAGAAGGTAAACCTCTCCATTATTGCAGTACAGTAGTTAACTGTGGAATCTGCTGCGTGTATAGACCATCTAGTTTTTAATTTATTACACTATTTCGACTGATGGCATGCTTCAGAAGGGGGAGGGAAACTACCTGATTCAAGTATCTGAGAAACAAATCTCTTTTGTTCTTCTAGGCTGCAGTGGAACAACTTTAACAGGGTTGTGGCATTTCCTTTCCTTTATAAAACATGCTCAGCAAACTGCACCAGTTAACTACAGTTTGGTAAATTGTTGTGTTCACAATTATGACATCTGCAATGTTTTATAAAGTAACTAATTTAATAAAATTACTATTGTGAGGACTTAAATTTTGTGTTATATCCCAAGAGATATTTTTGGAGAGCGCAGAACACAGCTCTTGGGACTAAAGTTAGCTATATACTTCCTAAAGTTTAATCAACGCTTGGTGTAGTTACAGCTTTAAAACAAGTGATGTTCTAGGTTGTTAATAATGTCACCAGAGCAACAAAGCAGCTACAAGGCTATTTTATTTTTTTGGGAAATTATTTTGTTTAGATACTAAGGCCTAATTAAGTACTATAAAGAACTATTTATTTGGATAATGGATCCTACAACTCAGGTTATGGTTATAAGGATAAACTGGGATCTTTATTTGTCCTAAGTGATTTAATAAGATTTGTGGGTTCATCTTTTTTTGTCCCAATTACCACAACCAGAGCAAAAAAAAAATTCTATAGGAAATAGGATCCTTGGCTCTGTAGACTTAAGTGTAAAACAGGAGGACTTAAATGAGTTGGTGAATTAACATAAGGCCTGACTACACAGCAATAATTATAGTAAATTCAGATTTAAGGCAGACAAGGGCTAAGATTTCCTTAGCAGTAATGACATACACAGAATTTAAAATCTATTTTATTATAAAGACGTTTCTAACAAATGAAAATGTATCACCTGTTCCTTAACTGTGTAAATAATATTAAATTTCTTTGAAACTGGAATATGCAGGCACAGATATCCTTCAATCATTGCATCACTACCTTATGCAGCAGTCATCCCGAGGAAGCTTTTGATCTTAATTACCAGCATTCATGTAAATGTAAAATGGTACAGATGAGCAATCACTTCCAAACTGGAATTTCCTGCTGAAAGTTCTCTCTTTCATTATCCACCACCCACAAGGGACTGAGACGGTATAGGTATCGGCTTTTCCAATTCAGACCACAAACTGCCCAGTGCATTCACCCTACTCTTGGTCATAGACATCTGTCAGAATCCCCAGGCATTATAAGGCCACAAGCATCTCTGAGATCATCTAGCCTGCAAGCATGTCCTTTAGACAGCAGCCTGTTTGAGGGTCCTTCAGAAGCACATTTACAATTTCATAAAATTTGTGTTCATATGCCAACTTGTAATACAAGTAGATATCTTCACAGTATGAGAGTAACTTCTTCAGGTTTTCTGTGACCACATCAGTAGGCTGATGTTGTTTGTATCTAGACAAAGAAATGTAAAAAGTACAGGCTAAATACTATATTTTGAGTGAAGGCTGCTATTTCTGACACTACTGCTTGTAGAGGAGAGGGTGCTGCTGTCTGGGAGATTATTTTCCTTAAAATTAAATATGTTAATGGTCACTTTAATAAGTTTAGTACCCCCAAAAGGCTCTGTTAGGTTTTTTGGCATCTGCCATATTAAGTATAAAAAGTATATTAAGCAAAATATTCTCACTCATCTGCTTGCATAAGTCTGTTAGAGATCACTCTTCTGGACTCTTGACATCTCTGCCATTTTAAGCAGAAGAGTAAGCTAAAGAAAGGCATGTCATGCTTAGCCATAAATTTCTTCCTTCCACCTCACCTTGGTTAAGGAGAAAAGCTTAGTCAATCACATCCCCCAGCACGTACTAGACAGGGTCTCAGTATGCTGCCCAGGCTGGTCTTGGCTCAGGTGAGCTCCCACTGCAGGTTCCCAAGTAGCACTGTGTAGGCATGGGCCACTGTACTCAGCACAGTCAACTTTTAAACTTACTTTTTTGAAATCTCTTCGAAGACACTGGGTCTTAATAATCTTTGCTGCTTAAATTCTTCCAAGTAATTAAAGTCTCCTTTAAGAATCACTTGTTGGTACAGAATTTCAGCCCACTCTGGAACAAAGTCATAGGCCTCGGCTACAATAGATGCCTTAAAAGGATGGAAGTGAAGAAGGACACAATTTAGAGCCCACCTGGTACACAACTGAAGGCGAATTCTAGAAGATAGTACCACACTTAGGCAGTGAATATGATCATCAGCTCTGTTCAGACTAAAAACTGGTTTGGTACTGTCTCTTCTGTAACCCCCAAACACTTAGCTTCAGTATTTGTAGTCTTCTTCACAATGGATTAATAAAACTGAGAAAGTACATGTCCCCAGCTGTACAAGGGACAGTGATGAGCTGAATCCCTGGTGTCAACCCCACTCCATTTAAAGGGCTAGAACCCATGTCCTGGAAGCTGCCCTCAGTGCTGACATAGGTGCATGGTCCTATACACACATGGGCTGAGAGTCTTGCAGGACCATTAGTAGCGATGACTCTGAACTGTCTCCCTGACCAGAGATACCTCTGCTGGCGTACTAGGATGGGGAAAAAAGAGATAGTGGTGCTTTACACCCTCTTAAGGTGCCCAAAGAACATGTTAGAAAGAAATAGACCCAGTCTCTCTCGTACCAGGGATTGAACTCAGGACCTTGTGCTTATGAACGAGGCAGATGCGGTGCTGCTGAGCTAAAACTGCCCTTCCCCCCTTTTTAAACTATAGTTCAGGCTGGTCTTGCACTTGAGGTGATCCTCCTGCATCAGCCTCACAAGTGCTAGATTGCCACCATACTGGCTAAATCAACTCTTTACAGTTGTGTCAGCCAAGTCAGGACTTCTGTGCTGCCCTGGTCCCTGTCCCTTTCTCTGAGAATGTAATTCAACCTTGGTCCCATGAGTGGCACAGCAAAAGGGATGCTGTAGTTGCTGGCTAGGCTTTTGTTTCTTGTTCACCTGGTAAAATCGAGGCAAGGCCATGATACAGTCCATCAGCTTATGGCGGCCTAAGTTGATGACCATTGTGTTGTAGCCAGTGTTCAGAAAGTGAATCTGTAGTGTTATCAACTTGGTAAGCCGGTGACAGTGCAGGGCCTGTCGCACGCAGGAGTCCTGAGGTGGAGGGGGAAGCAGAAAAATGTCACTATCTCTCAGCCCTCTAACCACTGTACTTGCCCCTTCTACCCAGCTTGACCCATGACGCACTTTCCCTTGGAGGAACAGGGACAAAAGAAAATTCTTACGTAGACGCCAAGGCCAGTGTGAACTCACACCTTCCACACCATCATTACCTTGGCGTAACTCTCAGCTGCATCCAGCATCAGGGTCAGGGCCTTCAACAGGAGCTGCTTCAGCTTCCGCTCATCCTTGAGGTTGTCCTCTGCAGGGAAGGAAGGGCACTGCTAAGCAGTCTGACTCCCAGATGGGCTCTTCTCCCCATCACGGTGGTCTAGGCGTGATCCCAAGGAGGTAGGGGTGTCTCAGTTAAGACTGGGACCTGAACCGTGCACATTCTACCCAGGAATAGGATTTGGTGCCCCTTTAGTTCCTTACTTTACTCTGAACATTAAGGAGGCTTTCACAGCATTAGCATGCAGCAGTTCCCACTGGACGACACCCTGGATGCACAGGATGCAGGACCCAAGAATGCAAATGCTTCCCAAACACCCTCTCAGTTTCCTGTCTGCCTAGCTGGGGTCCTGCTTCAAACAGGCAGCCCTAAGAACTTTCACATTAGCAGCATGCCCTGGGGGGTGCTGCAGTGATCTTGCTTACCCCAGGCCTGACACTCGATCAACTTCAGTTGAATGCAGGCGGCTGCCTCATGGTTCTCCCCGATCTCTCGGCACATGCTGAAGCACAGGGCAATCATGTTGTGCTTCTCACTGTCCCCAGGGCGGCAGCGTTTAATGTAGTCCAGGAGGGCTGTCTTCAGGGTCCCATTCTGCTCAGGGAGAAAATGGAATACCAAGATCTCAACCAGGAACTGCTTGGGGGGTAGGACTAGCTTAGTCTTGGTTCTGAAAGTTCTTTAAAAACTCACAAGAAAAAGGGAAAGATGACTAAAACCAAAACTGAATATGGTTCATGCTTTCCTGGCTAAAAGGAAATAAACATGTTCTCTTTGTAAATAGTAAAAGCTTTCAGAAGGGAGATGCCTTAAAAATACATATGCATATGCGGATCTACCAATTCTATTTCTAAATGTACCTTAAAGAAATAAGCAGGGAAAAGTATTAAAGTGAACATAATGCGAATCCTAGCACTTAAGATCACCAGTTCCAGGCCAGCCTGGGCTGTTACACAGTTCAAGGCCAGCCCAAACTATACAGTGAGCCCGTCTCAACGGGAAAAAAGGACTGGGGATTTAGCTCAGTGATTCTACTGCCTGCCTCAAAAGCACAAGGACCCAAGTTTGATCCCTGGTACCAAAGGGAAAAAAAATGTAATGAAGATCTTGATAGCAATTATGGAGAAACAGCCTAAATGTCCAAAATAAAGATTAAGAGAGTACTCTGTGGCCATTAAAACTAATATAGAAGACTCTCTTGATTTGAGGAATAGTCATGGTACATTTACTAAGAGAAAAGAGCAGGCTATTTTCTATCTCTATAGCATAGATTTTATTAAAGTGTATAATACGTATGTATGCTTTTCAGTAAATTGCAAAGAAAGGGCCTATACCAAGCTTAGCGGCAGTTGTCTGCAGATGGGTAGACACTGAGGGCTGTTTTCTGTGGTGTTGTCCAAGTGTCTTATATGAAATATGCATTACTTTTATAATCAGAAAAAGTTATTAAAAGGATATTTAAAAGCAGAAACAAAACTGCCTTGAAAAATAACAATGTAAAAAAATCTTCCAGGGGTCTTGAAGATGTACCCATGCCTTGGACCTCTTGTCCTGACAGCTAGATTGGTCTGATGTGAAACACCCAGCATTAGGGATGTTTGGCTGGGGCTGGGTTCACAGAGGCCAAAGTACACTTTGTTTTTAACTCTTCTGAGGTGAAATGAGCAGAGGCACCAAATCAGCCAGATGTTTGATGTGGAAACACTGCATGGGTGATGCACAAAGGCCCAAAGGACTGAGCAAGGCAGGCTTCTATTCCAGGCTTCCTTCCGGCTCATCCTTGTAGAAGGATTTTCTGGTCTGGGCATTCCCAAGTTGGTTCTAACATGGTACTTTTTCATGGTTCCCTTAAAATTTTTCCACTCAAGCCCCCAGGCATAGTGTCAGGGCCCACCACTTGCAGCACAGCTCTCAGCAAGGATTTTGCTGCTACCAAGAAGGCACTTTCTGAAACAGCACACTTGCAGGATCTCTAACCTATGGCCCATGGACACAGGTGGCTCATTTGGGTCACACTGAATGAAGAGGAACTGTCTTGGGTGGCATATAAAACATGATATATATCTAGTGTATGTAGGTAACAGAACTTCATTTTTATTTTTATTGGTACTGGAGACAGGACCTTGCGCTTGCCAGTCAGGCGTGGTGCCACTGAGGTACATCTCTGGCCCTCATATATTTATATTTGTATTTTCTCTGTACCAGGGAATCGAACTGAGGACCTTATGCTTGCAAGGCAGGCATGGTGCCACTGAGCTAAATCCCTAGCGCTGGCCCTCTATTTTTTTGGTACCAGGGACAACTCAGGACCTTGCGCCAGGCCAGCAAGGCAGGCGGCAGCACCACTAAGCTAAACCCCTGGCTCTTTATTTTTAAATAAAGGACCACAAGATGGGGACACCTGCTGGAGGTGGTGGGGGTGAAACTTTCCAGTTTTTTGAGATGGTCTGTGCAGTTCAGGATGGTCTCAGACTTGCAGTGGTCCTCCTGCCTCAGGCTCCCAAATGTTGAGATTATAGGCATATGCCCACAGCACCCAGCATTTTCTTCGGGAATGTCAGCACAACTCCTACCATTTCAGCACTCCACTACAGAGAGGGTCTGCTTCCGTCTCTGTACCTGAGAGTCCCACCCTGAGATCATCACTCAGAAAAGCTGAGCCTGGTTCACTGCTTACACCCACCGTATCCAGCTTCTTCCTCATCAGCACTTCAAAGTAGTGTTTTTGATGCAGCAAATCAAATATGTACGTCATCTCATTGTACCTTCCAATGCCAGTGAGGAGCCGGACCTGTGGGGAGGGTGAGTGTCAGTGTCTCTGGAGTTCTTTGAACCAGATCACCTGTCAGGGCAGCTGCACGCCAGCTCCCTCCTGTGCTCCCAACAGGGAACTTCTTTTGAAGAAGCAGTGCTAATCTTTGGGGACACCACTGCCAACCTCTCTGTTATCTAAGCACGACTACCAAGTAACGTGGAACTGTCTCCTGGGCAGGCTCTCACTCTTCCCACGGCACCTCAGTGGCCCATGTGACAAAGAACTAGGGAAGGTAATGGGGCTCGGACTGTCAACTCATTACCTTGTTCTGGGGAGCAGAGAGCCCTCTAGAAAAGCTCACTTCCCTGGCATGAGGGTGCAGTGGCCGTGAAAATTTCTCTGCTCCTGGAGCTATCTCTGATTCAGATAGAAACCCTAACTTGGAGCTGCTGCAGGGTGGGCAGCCCAGCCAACTATGAAACAGGTCGTGGGATATGGAGGGGCAGAATTTCCCAAGACCACGTCAGATCTGAGCAAGCCCCTCATCTCTGCTCCTCTCAAAGGCTGCCTCAGGCCAGAGGGTGGGTGGAGGGGTACTCACCGCCAGCCCATACTCCTCTTTGGGAGCCAAGTGGTTATCTGTAAGCATCCGGGCAGCCTGCAGGACTCGCATGATGCCCTCCATGTGGCATGTCAGGGTGAAGCAGTGATGAGCCAGGATCAGGAGCTCTGTGGCTGGGGCGGGACACTGGTGAGACAAATTCCTGAAGCCTGGCCACCTACTGTGCCCCTCTGCCTGGCAGGGAAGAGGCCTATGCAGAGAGCTCTCATTGGTCCCCTTGAAGCCTGGCCACACTAGCTCTGTAGGAAAACTGGTGATATTGAGACTCTTCTCTCAAGGAAAAGCACAGGGATTAACTGTCCTCCAAGGTCAGGTAGTGGCCATATCTCCAAAAGGCCTAAAATGTGAACAAGGATCCTCACCTTCTAAAGATGGAGAAACTTTCGGCAGACAAACCAATGGCATTTCTGCCATCATGAATCCAGGGTCTCTTTTTGCCTGCACCTCAGTGGAAGGTCTCAGGTGTTCTGGCTTTCTAGACTGGGCAAGATGTGACTGAGTACAGACTGAAAACTACTATGAGCTGGGTGTGGTGGTGCACACCTATTATCCCAGCACTCAGGAGGCTGATACAGAGGATCACTGCAAGTTTGTATGTAATGAGTTTAAGGACAGCCTGGACTACAGAGTGAGACCCCGTCTCAAAAAGAAAAAGAAAAAAACTTAGCCAGACACAAATACATATACACACACGTGTGTATGTGTGCACATGTATGTATGTGTGCAGACACACATATGCATGGATATATGTATGTCTCAGAAGCCTTTAAAATGAGCACAACCTTGAATCAAGATTTTATCTAGGGAAATAACCACGGATGGGCACAGAGATATCCATCAGAATGTTTAAAATAGCAAACAGTGGAAAGTGAAGAAACCAAAACTAAAATAATAATAATAATAATAATAATAATAATAATAATAATAATAATAATAATAATAATAATAATAATAATAACACTATTATTATTATTTTATTATTATTTTATGTTTTTCTGGTACCAGGGATTGAACTCAGGACGTTGCACTTGCTATCAGGCATCAGAACCACTGAGCTAAATCCCCAACTATGAGCCTTTGAGGAACCTTTTATGTATAAACCACAACACTAACTCAAGACACACTGAGAACTGAACCCAGGGGCTACTCATGCCAGGAAAGTGCCCTGTCATTGAACTATATCCCCAGCACCTCCTCCCCAAACTCTTTTTAAAAAACAGTTTGAGAAAAAGTCTTGCTAAGATGCTGAGGTTGGCCTGAAACCTGCAGTTCTGCTTTGGCCTCCCTGAGTGCTGGGGACAGGGATACAACACCACACAGAGCTAAAGGTTAAATTTAAGCCTGCCTTTGCATAGCTTCTAAATTTTCTTCAGTGAACTTATGGCTTTCCAATAAAAACTCACACCCTATGCTGGAGGAGCAAGAACAAGTGCCTAAATCAGGTTCTGGAGAGATGACCCCAGTAGACCTGCTTAGACTCAAAACATGTAAGAAAAAGGCTGAGAACTTACTGCAAGACAGATGTCCATGAGGAACGGAAGAAATCTTATCCAGCAACTTCATTCCTACCAAGGTGTGATCTTGACACAGAGCAGTCAGCTGAAGAAATGTCTGGCTTTCCTCTGCTGGGCTGCACACCTGCTTATGTCCTGTAAAGAAAGATGTGGAAACAGGCTGGTTTACCATGGAAGAGTTTGGAAAAGGACAAGAGCATTCTGCCAAAGGCCACTCTGCCTAGGCCGGGCACCAGAGGTCATGCTGTGCAGCAGTCCTGCTGCTGAGCTCCTTGGAACACAGGACAGAGGCATTGCCTGGGGGAGAGGGCAGAGCTACTCTGAGCATGATCAGAAAATAATACAAAGCAACAGAATAAATGTGTTATTTTCTAAGTATGATCTGGAAATGTGAGAGGGCAACATATAGGATGTGTCCAAATCCTCTGTGCTGAGGAACTGAAAGTGCTGTCTAGGAGGCTGGGTCATAGCACCTGTTCCCTCAGAAGGAGTCAGCAGCTCCTGCATCACCTCTTCCGCCACAAGTTCTGCCACAATGTCTGGAGGGAGGCCCTGAGTACTGATGAAGGCCTGGGCACGTCTGCACCGGTCAGGCTGCTGGGAGGCCAGGATTGCATGAAGTAGGGCCTTGCCACCCTGGGCAGCAACATCTGTGTAGGAACAGCCCAACTCCTGGGGGGGAAGGTAGAGCCAAAGTTATTCTTAGGAGCCAAGAAAAATAAAAAGACAGCTCTGTAGAAAATGTGACGTAGGTGGATTCCATTGTTTGTTGAGTTTAAAAATCCCAGAAGCAAGTAGTATTATTTCCTAGTCCATTTTATCATCCACCACAGCCAGATTCAAGCAAAAGAAAGGATTATTATCAGAAAACATCAGATGACTATCTCTTGTTGAACACTGATCATTTCAAACATAGAAGACATAAGAAAGCAGAATAAAATATAACACTACCTTCCTTACTGTTCCCACAACAGCAGCAAAACCTCAAATTGCCAAAGAAGTCTTGGAGTCTTCTCTAAGTCCAAGTGCTTTGGTTCTTGGCTTTATTTCCTCATGCTCTTTCACATCCCACCCACTGATTCCTCCCTCAAAGCAGCACAGCATCCTGGCTGCTCTAGCTCCTGTTTTTATAGTCACTGTACTCTACATGGAGTGCTCTACACAATTGGGAAGAAAGCCTACGGTACAAGGTCTAGAAGGGACCCTTGTTCAAATGATCATTTCAGTGAAGAGCAAGGGGCCCAGTGAGATAAGATGCCCTGCCTTTAGATTTCTGGGTGGCTGAGTTGTGGCCAGGACTCAGACTGCCCCAGTGCTTGGCCTGCTGTCCTCCCTACCATTCCCTGCAGACAGACTCACAGGGGTCTGATCCCAGGTCAGCCAGGAGGATGACATTTCCATCTGAAGGGCTGTCATGGCAGTGTTCAAAACCTACCTCCAGCTTCCCCTCCGGGGACCTCCGGCATACCTTGGCAAGTTCATAGAGGCAGAGGATCTGCCGGCAGTAGTTCTTCCCATAAAGGCATTTGCTTGTCAGGGTTTCCAGATTCATTACCACTTCATCACTTGGGGATGCCATCATAAATGACTGACTATCCGTACTTGAAGCTGGAAGCAAATACAAGTCAGGAGCTTTAGGCTGGCAGGTTAAGGCCACTCCCAGGTCTTTGTGCCTCTGCCTCTCACTGTGTGGCTTCCTGCATCATGTTCCCATGACTGACACCCACCTGCCAATCTGGGATCACCCAACAAGGCCCCCTTAAGCTACTTTCACTACCTTCTACAAAAGTCTCAAAGCCACCTGGAGATCAGCACCAACTTGCCTACCAAGCTTCTCCACACATTCTCCCTCCCAATTTCCCTGCATGCCAAATAAATCATCAGGTCTATATATTTATATATCTACCTGCAAAACTTCTCTCCAGTCACTGCCTCAACCTCAGCTTTCATCGTGAGGCTGTTATCAGTCTTGCTGTTGGCCTCCCTTCAAGTTAATTATCTACATACTCATTTCCAAAGTGCAACTGTACTTTGAAAGTATAGTAAAATTAAAATCCATTCTCATTTTATTTTTTTGTACTGAGGATTGAACCATTCTCAATTTTAAAATAAAAATCTTTGGGCTGGCAATTTGGCCGAGTAGTAGAGGCTCTGGGTTGGATCTTTACCACTACAACCCCCCAACCCAAAACAGCCTGAATAGAATATGTTTTAACTTTGATGAAGTATTTCTATTAGGTATAAATGGGTGTTTATCTTGTGTGTGTGCTGCTGGGGAAGGAACCTGGCCTTGTGCATGCAGGCAAGTGCTGCACCCACTGAGCTACATCCCCAGTCCTTTACTATTTTGAGACAGAGTATCACTAAGTTTCCCTTTCTAGCCTCAAAACTTGCAAGCCTCCTGCCTCATCCTCCTAAGCCACTGGCATTACAGGTATGCATATTGCACCCAAGCAAAGGAAGTTATCCTGGGGAATCTGATGGACATCACTCTGAACTCATTTTTTACTCTATATACTTATGTATTGTGTTATTTACTACAATAAATATATTAAGCTGTTGCATTCAAAATATTAAGCAATGCTGGGTGTACTGGTGCACACCTGTGATCCCAGCACTTGGGAAGCTGAGGCAGAGGAATGGTGAGTTTGAGACCAGACTGGGGTACACAGTGAGACACTATCTCAAAACCCCAAACATACATAAATATTAAGCATTTAAAAAGTATGCTCTAAAGACAAATGAAATGCAACTCAGACAAGGTAATTTGTATTCATCCTTCACTGCAGGGTCAAATTCTAGGTGAGATCAAATAACCTCACTCCGTACTATCTCCCTCTGAATTCAAACTGAAACCCGGAAGCAATATGAGAGAACCAGGAATTTAGCTCAGTGGTTCCGGTGCCTGCTTCCCAAGCACAAGGACCTGAGTTCAATCCCCGGGGAACCCAATTAAAAAAAAAGAAAATAGGAGAGAGGGATCTCCTCATCCCAGCCAAATGCAAGCAGGAGAGCACTCAAGCAAATAACACTCTGGGGAAAGCCCTCCAGAGCCAGTTCTAGGGTCAAGAAAGGGAGCCCTCTCTAACTTGGCCCAGCTCCTAAGAACCCCTTGGGTAGTGTTGGCAGAGACTTCAGTGGCAGCTGGAATGAGCCAACTCAGAGATGGGAAACTTCTTTTCTAAGTAGAGGTGCTCTGGGCTCAAGAGGGTGGATTAGACTCCTGCTGAAATCAGCACTATTCTCCCTCACCAGGCCGTGATGTGGGCATGGTCAGGGAACACCTGACAGAGAAGGTCTAATCCTTCGGCATTGGGTTTAGAGGACAGAAAAGGGAAGTCTCAGAGAACCAGAAACTATCTGAAAGAGACACAGGAAAGCAGCCGAGCAAAATGTTCACTACTGCAGGGCTCACTCTTGGGCTATATACAGTGGGTCTGAGCCTAACTGGCACACTGAAGCCTCTGAGAGCTGCAATAACTTGTGCACCACCACCAGGGATGCCGACCTCGGGGTGCAAGCACTGCCAAGAGCATACCCCGATGCCAGAGCTACAGCCCACAGGACCTCAGCCTGAAGCACATAGGTCTGCTACAGAATATCAACGTTCTTACAGAACTTAAATAAGAATCAGACTTTACATGAGTATATTTGGTACCAGAGACCGAACTCGGGACCTCGTGCTTGTGAGGCAGGCAGCAGAACCACTGAGTTAAATCCCCAGCTCAATGAATATATCTGAATACAGACTACTCAAAATATCCAGGGAACAACTCCCAAAAATAAGTATACAAAGAAGCTGAAAAACCTCAGCTCACCAGAGATGAAAAAGATGCCAGCCAGCAAGAAAATGACATACATTTTCAAAGTATCTAACAAAGACTTCAAAATAGCTATTAATGAATATTCTGACAAGCAACTGTATATGGTCTTGGCACAAAATGAAATGCAGAATTCTCAGCAGAGAAACAGGATAATAACATCACAGAAATTTCAGAACTGAAAAGCTAAAATTTAAAAATCAGAAATAACTCAACTGAGATAAAAATGACAGGAAGGGCTCAGTGAAACTGAAGACAGACCAATAGAAATTATCTAATCTAAACAGACAAAAATATGTGGAAAAAAGCTGAACAAAGCCTCTGTTATTTGTGAGATAATAGCAAAGTTCTAAATTCATAACATTAAAGTTCCAGGAGGAAAGGAGAAAGATTATGGTGCTAAAATTGTTTTCAAAAAATTAAGGTGGTGGTGCCTGCCTGTAATCCCAGCACTCAGGAGGCTGAGGCAGAACGATCACAAGGTTGAGATCAGCCTGGGTTACGGAGTGAGACTTTGTCATAATTTTTAAAAAGAGTGACTATTTCCCAAGTTTGACAAGATATAAATATATATTTAAGAAGTTCAGTGAATCCCACAGAGTAAACCTAATGAAATATATACTAAAATTCTGAAAGCAACCAAAAATATATATATACCATGTATAAGTGAACAATGACTCAAATTAACTATAGATTTTTCATCAAGATACTGTGGAGGCCCAAAGAAAGTAGAAATTTCTTTTCTTTCTCTCTTTCCCCCTTTCTTCCCCTTTTCTCTCCATCCCTTTTCTTGGAATTATATTTTCAAGTCCTAAAAATCCCAATTAATTTTTAATACTCAGAAAAAACTTTTAGACAAGGTCTTGCTATGAGGCTCAGGCTGGCCTCAAACTTCTAATCCTCCTGCCTCAGCCTTCCAGACTGCTGTGATCACAGGCATGAATCAGCATGACTGGCTGAAAACATTCTTTAGAAATGAAGGTGATACAGAGATATTCTTAGGTGAAGAGGAAAAAAAAAAAAAAAAAAAAAAAAAAAAAAAAGCAAAGCCAAAAAAATCTAAATCTGTTGCTAGCAAGACAGCTCTAAAAGAGTTACTGAATGAAGTCCTTCAGACTAAAGAAAAAAGAGACGAGAAGGATTTTTGGGGAACATGAGGAATAAAACAAGAGTAAGAGGAAATTTAAGTTTCTAACTAAATATAGTAGACTATTCTCAAATTTTATTTTATTTATTTTGGGGGGTTTTTGAGACAGGGTCTCACTATGTAGTTGAGGCTGAACTGGAACTCACTATGTAGCCCAGGTTGGTCTCTAACTCACAGAAATCCTCCTGCCTCAGCCTCTTGAGTGCTGGGATTACAGGCGTGCACCACCATGCCCAGCTTCAAAATTAAAAAAAAATATATGTATTTCCAGCTAAAAGCAAAAGTTACAGCATTGTTTGGCGGGATTTTCCATGTATGGAGATGTAATATAAGACTAGGAAAAAAGAAAAAAAGACAACTAGGACAGAACACAAGGACAGTAAGGAAATGGGGTGGATAGGGTGGAGGCTCAAACAGATACAGAGAGTAACCTGAAAGATGAATCCTCCAGATCGAATCAAAATATCCAGGTTGTTGAAAGGGAAAGCCCCTGGTCCACAGTTCCCTCCACAGCCTGTACCCAACCACAGCACAGCACCCTGTGCAGCCAGGTGGGTCCAGAGAGATGCCCAGCTGCACTGCTCCAGGCAGGCAGTTACAGTCACAGGGATGTAACAGGAGCCCTGGCTAAGACAACAGCAACCGCCTGAGGGCTTTTTGTTTCCTGCTTGCTTGTCTGGTCTGGGTTTTCTTTTTTAAATTTAGTTTATTGGTGCATTTTAGGTATACAGTACAGTTACATTCATTATTAGGATCTTGTACCTTTACATGACAGATCTTGGTTCTCATTTTTTCCCCTTACCCCTGCCCACCCTTCACCCGTTGGTCTGGATTTTCTTTTCTTGCTTCTATATTAATATTTTTATTTTTAAAGTTTTTTCTTTGTTCTTTTTCAGTCTTTTTAATTTTCCTCCCTCTTCTTTTTTGTTGTTGTTGTTCTTCTTCATTTCCCCAATTCCCTTATTTTCTCTCTTTTCCTCTCCGCCTTTCATACAACAGCTTTATAGCAGGTGGTTATATATGTGCAAGAGAGAGCAAGAACTGACCAGTGCTTTAACCTGAATGGTACCGTTAATGGCCATGTCAGGTACCCCTTAACAGAATTGCACTCAGAGGATCCAAACAAAACTAACTATACATATAGTAAGTTTCCGAGAACCACACTGCTCCCTTGAATCTCTAAGTACATCTCTCTCCCTTGGCATCACTCCTACCAATTCCATAAACATTCTCTCAAATCCCAAACGCTAGCCCTTTACTCCAGCTATAAAAATAACTCCATCAGAATCCCAACTTCCTATTTTCACCTTACTGACATTTCTTACCTCCTTATCTTGGGACTTACTCTTTTCATTTCCCCTTTACTCTTTCCTTACCCTTTCCTTCCATATTCCAGACTAACCACTAATACCAGTACAGTATAATCTAAAAGGGGCACTGATAAAAGGATGAAAATGTCAAGTTTTAATGTTTACGACTATATCTGCAGATAATATAACCAACAGGAATTCTCTCCTTACAACAGTGACTGGGTCCAACTCAGCTAATCTAAATAGGTTAAAGTGGCAGATAACAGCTATTTATTGAGAAATAAAGCCAAGATCACATCACTGGAAAAAAACCTAACTAAAGGGATTTTT